ATGGATTCTGATATTTTTTTGATATTTTTTTTGATTGGCATCACCAAGGTCCAAATACATGTTTTTCGTGAAACTTCATGTAGCACGTTGATTACGTTAAAGCTTGAGTAGACATTTTGATTTCACTTACGCCCGGTTCCTATATTCAACGAACGACCGTTAGTTACATAGCTTCGTAACTTTCATAACGACTTGTAGATTTAAGGAACGCTAGTAACTCACTTTCCGTAGGTAATGCAACAGCTCGTAAGGAAAACGCCTCGTTTTGTTAATAAAGGAATCGGGCGTACACCCCTTTAATCTACAACACGTTAAGAATGTTACGCAGCTATGTAACTAACGGCCGTTAGTTAATAATAATAATAATAAGTTTATTGAAGTCCAAAGTAACAATATACATTGAATATAAGATTTACAGTTATCAAATTAAGAGAAACATTTGGACTGCAGCACTAGACATTAAACAGGTATTTCAAAGCATGGTGCCTTACTGTGTGTGTGTGTGTGTGTGTGTGTGTGTGTGTGTGTGTGTGTGTGTGTGTGTGTGTGTGTGTGTGTGTGTGTGTGTGTGTGTGTGTGTGTGTGTTGTTGTGTGTGTGTGTGTGTGTGTGTGTGTGTGTGTGTGTGTGTGTGTGTGTGGTGTGCGTGTGCGTGTGCGTGTGCGTGTGCGTGTGCGCGTGCGCGTGCGCGTGCGTGTGTGTGTGTGCGTGTGTGTGTGTGTGTGTGTGTGTGTGTGTGTGTGTGTGTGTGTGTGTATGTATGTGTGTGTTTGTGCCTTATTGAAGTATAGATAAAATATTCTCGGTTTCCTTATACGATAGCCCCATAAGAAATTTTCTTAGAATTGTGCTTTTTTTTTTTCGTGTGGAAATCCTGCGTAGGATACCTGTCTACCAAGAGAGGATAGACAGGTTATGTCGGATGCCTACCGACTAAAACCCCACGTTACTCATCTTTAGTCCTGATGAGGGGGCACGGGATCTCCTAAAGGAACGCAACCGCGGCCTCTCTGACTTACTAAGTAGCCCAGGTTCGGGGATATACTCCCTACCCCAAGTACGTGCGCGAAGATGAGGATCTTGATCACCTGCAGCCCCAATAACCCGTTCACTCAACGAAGCTATCTTTGGGTGCCATGGCTGGGAGCTCCAACTCCCTGCCGTCGTCTCCGGCGGGTGGGATCACTTCTTTCCCGATCACGTTCAGCAGCCTCCTTTTGGAGCATAACAGACTCGCAAAAGGAGGCTACAGCGCTCCACTTTGGGTTTCCGGACAGCATTGCAGAAATAACTGCTGTCAGGGAAAGTCTCTGTCCAATATGGTTCTCCAGGGTCCGCCTCTCCTGCTCCCATGCAGGGCATATCGCAAGCGTATGGTCTGCGGAATCCTGGTTCACCCCACCGCAGTGGTAGCACATCGCCGTCGCTTCTCGTCCAATCCTACACAGATAATCACCGAAGCAGCCGTGCCCTGTGATTATCTGTGTAAGTCTGTAAGTGAGTCTTCCCCACCGTCGCTGCATCCAGGCTTCGAAGACCGGCAAAATTGCCCCTATGACGCGTTTGCGTGCAAATTGCTCTTTACAAAGCCGTGCACGCCACGTCAAAAGAGCGCTAAGCCGCTCTTGCCGTTTAACAGCCTCGAGCACCTCTACTGACTCGCTACGACCACTTTGGCGGATGGAATCTGGTTGTAAACACATGCATCCATGTTCGCCAATATGTCCAAAGGTGGGAAGCGAGCCAGGAGTGTCGCCGCCTCGAATGACATCGTGCGATATCCTCGAACGATCCGTATGGCTATCCTCCGCTGGACGCTGTAAATTTTAGTTCTACAGCGTCTAATGGCCAGCCTTTGAGTCCTAACTGGTGCACCATACAGAGCCACGGAACGTACGACTCCTGCATAGAGGCGGCGCACTTCCTCTCTTGGGTCCCCAAGATTGGGCAGCAGTCTGTGCATGGCATCCGCTACCCTCTCGATCCGGGGGACTAGGCGCTCAAGGTGTTCTTCAAAACCCCAGCGACTGTCAAGAATAAGGCCAAGGTACTTCATATACCGCCCCACTTCCACTTCAGACCCACTCACTTGGATACATGAGTTAGGTGGTTCCGTGTTTCGTGACATTTTATGAAACCATAGCGCTTCGGTCTTGTGAGATGCTATCTTTAATCCCAACTCATGTATCTTATCAATGACGATTTGCACGCCAAGCTCAGCTCGCTCTTTGGCCCTCTCGAAATTTTCCCCGCTAGCAACTACTAGCGTGTCATCCGCATAACAGACGACGTCGACGCTAGCGGGAAGCTCGGTACGCAAAACTGCATCGTATGCAATGTTCCACAATAATGGGCCCAGCACTGAGCCCTGTGGAACCCCACAGTACATCTCCCTCCTGATTCTAGTACCGTCTTGGTCTGTGTACAGAACTTACCTGTCGTGTAAATAATTTCCGACAATACCTTGGAGGTATTGTGGCACATTGTGCGTCGCTAACCCTTCCAGAATAGCGCCCCAAGGCAGAGAGTTGAAAGCGTTTACGATATCAAGACTAATCGCCAACGCCACTCTACCCTGGGACACAGCTTGGTCCGATAAGAAGCGAACGCGCATAATGGCGTCTATAGTTGAACGCTTCTTTCGGAAGCCAAACTGGTTTTCGGAGATATCGGGACCAACTTGCGAAAGATGTTCATTGAGGCGGGAGGCAATGACTCTTTCAAAAATCTTGCCAACTTCGTCCAACAGACAAATCGGGCGGTACGCAGAGGGAGAATTTGCAGCTCTACCTTCCTTCTTCAAGAGGACCAATTTAGCCTCCTTCCAGGGCTTGGGGAACGTGGAGTTGTATAGACAGCTTGAGAACAATTGCCTTAACCTTTCACCCAATATAGATAGGCTCAGCACCCAAGCCCTACCCGGTATTCTATCAGGCCCTGGCGCAGTGTTTCGGGCTCTTAATCGGCCAACCGCTTTCCTCATCTCCAGCTCTATCACTCCTATATTATCTTGCCGCTCTTGTACTGACGTTGGAGTTTGTATATTGGGATATGTGGGAGATCGGTTATCTGGGAAAAGTGAGCTAACCACTCTTTCTAAGAGATTCGAGTCCAGAGTTTCCGCCACTGGAGGCATCCAGGGCTTGAGTTTTCCTAGCACCAACTTATAAGGCCGCCCCCATGGGTTTTCATTAAGTTCCTCCAACAATTCTGCCCAGGATTGTGACTTGGCGTTGGAAATGGCAGCTTGCAACGCCTGAGTGGTTGCTCGATATTCTCCGTATAGCATGGCAATTTCATCATCTGGGACTCTTCGGGCCCTTGTATACTGGCGCCGACTACGCAGGCAGATGGCACGTAATCGTGCAATTTCCGTCGACCACAAGTACCCACCCCTTCGTTTAGAGAGGCTGATCCGAGGCATAGAAGTGTCGCAAATTCGAGTCATTACATCCCGGAACCAGTGTGCTTCTTCTTCCGCATCAGATGGAATCTCTCCTGTGCTTTGCTGCCAGGTTTCAACGTTGGTGGCGGCTTCAAGCATATCTCGATCTAACCGTTTAAGGGACCAACGTCGCATAGGACTGCCAACGTTGCGATTGGAATCGATAGGAGGACGACGGAATGTGACATCAAAGAAGATGTGGCGGTGGTCTGATAACGTAACCACCTCCTCTGCAACACGCCAATCAGACAGCATACGCATGGCAGCAGGAGTCGCCTATGTAAGGTCTATTACTGACTCCCCCTGCCACCGCACACAAGTGCGAACTGATCCCTGGTTAGCGAGTCTCAAATCTAGCCCAGCAGCCCATTTCATTACTGCCTCTCCCTTTGAATCATTTCTAAGGTTCCCCCACTCTCTAGCATGAGCGTTGAAATCCCCTAAAGCGATTAAAGGACGAGGTAAGCATCGGCGAACGCAATCAGCTACATTATCTAGGTACGCCTCGTAGTCTGCAAGCGATCTATTGGGTGAGACGTAGCAACCCACTATGGCCAGAGTGCCCCACTGTACTGCGACAAAACCCTGTCCTTTTTCCAACAATGTACATGGTGGAACACCCTCTCCGCCTCCCCAGTAAACAGCAACCGAGCCCAAGTTATCACCAAACCATCGTGGGTGGTCTGGAATAGTATAAGGCTCAGCTACTATTGCAAGGGCAATACTGCGCTCAACAATGCTTTGCATAAGAAGGTGCTGAGCATTCCGGCAGTGGCTTAGGTTGCCCTGAAGGACTCTTGTGGGTTTCGTTTTTATATCACACCGACCTCCATCTGCGAGCTGCTGCTCGATGCCGCCATGTTAGTTGCCGTGGCCGTTTTTGCTGTAGTGCCCTGCGTTTGATTCTTTTTGCCTTTTTTAGTTGTTTTGGGGCACTGTTTACCCAGACGGTGACTCGAAGGAAGTCCCAGATCCGAGCACAGGGGGCACTTTAAATCTGTAAAGGTGCACTCCTTCGCTTTATGCCCGGGCTCACCACAAGAGTAGCAGCGTGTGCTGCGATCGGTATTATTAGGACATCTAGGACCCACATGTCCTGTTTCGAGGCATCTAAAACAGCGCATAGGCCTGGGCTCGAGCAACTCGACTCTTATAGAGCCCCAGCCCTCGCGCAAAGATCCTTCAGCCGACAACTTCTGAATTGCCGTAACCGGACATCTAACCCAGCACGTCCCCATGCTGGTCGGCGTTCGACGGATATCCCCTACTTTCACTTGATCCGGTGAGCATCCTCCAGCTTCAGCAACCGCTGCTGCTACCTCTTGAGGGTCTATTGCATCATCTAGATCTCTCAGGCGTAGATCGCCCGATTTTATTCGAACCTGCGTGGCTGAAAATATCTCCCGCAATTTAGCAGCCAGATTATCCGCCTTCTGCTCGCAGCTCGGACCTGAGACCTCCAATAGCAGACCTCCGGTCACGGCGCGCTTTTGACGGATAGCAGATTCTATGCCTAGCTCTAGCAACGCAATTTTTGATTTTGCTTCCGCCATTCACTTTCCGTATGTAACGGAGGAGCCTTCTAGAATTGTCACTGTCACAGCTACAGATGAAGGAGCGCGAGGTTTCCTTGGGCCTTTAGGCTTTTTATTCAAGATAGTGGTAACCGGCAGATTTTTTGTTCTTTTGACCACTTCTACCCACGATCTTGACGCTGTCTCTACCTCTGAGTGCACATATGGTGCAGCTATCGGAGGCAAATCTGTCACTGGTGGTGGTGAAGACTTCTTTTTCTTCGCCTTTTTCTTTTTATTTCTCTTCTGAGACTGCGTCAACGATGGTGGTTGCGGCTGTAGTTCTCTAGGATCTATGTCTGAACATTCGTTAGCCAAAGATGTAATCTTTGGCCTTGCTCCCAACGTGGGTCGAAGCGCCCTATCAGGAAACAACTTTGCCTCAAAATCAGCTTTTTTGCTTTCTATTAGTACCCCTATACGTTCCAAAAGTCCCTTCTCTTCACCCATTTTCATGGTATCATTAGGTGATTTCTGTGTAAGTGACGCACTTGTTTCGCCACTAACACGGTTTTGCCTTCGAAGAAGGTTAATCTCCTCTGTGAGTTTTTCCAACTTCGAGGCAAGACTGGATAGTTGAGAACCCAACTCTGCATTCTCCTTTTCCAGCCTTATTACATTAGCGTCAGTGATTGACCTCCGCGCGCGTTCAGCGGCCGCGGCTTTAACGTTACGCACTGCCAGCCTTAAGCCACGGACGAAGTTTCCTTTTAGATTCCGCGAGTGGTCCGCTACTTTTTCAATGGTCTGGAGTTGAAGATCTATGTGTTCCTCAATGTTGCCACTCGGTTGAGACTGCAGATCCAGTAATAACTCATCCGGGTTAGGCAACTTTTTCTTTGCCCTTGTTTTTGATGGGGGCACTGAAGGGTCGAGGAAATCTTCTTCTGTCTCCATCTCAGTTTCCATCATCTCTTCTTCTGTTCCCGTTGCTGAAGCAGAAATCGCAACCGCCTTGTATTTAGCGGCCATGTTTTCCGTACTTGGAATCTTGGTCGCCTTCCTCTTGCGGGTGTCTTGTGAATTAGCCGATGTTAGCGATATTTGCGAGCCATCAGACTCGCATTCACCCCCACCAGCTAGATCTCCTGAAGTGCGAGGGCATTTTAAACGCCCACGCCTCCCACGTCTACCTCGTGTACTTCGTGCCGGAATCACTGGTTTCCTCGGCAAGGCTCCATCCTTACTTACTTGGTCTCCGGATGTTACAGGACCCACCGACGACGCAGTTACGTCGCCGCAAGGCAGTGTGTTGCCCCCCCCCCCCCCCAGATACGATGGGGCTGCCCAGGCTATGCCTAGGGGTGGATTCTCCGGCGTCGCCGGTACCACCCTGGGGTAGTTGGTTTTTACTCACTGCTTCCATATTTCCTTTTTTACAAGGGTTCGGTCCCTAGAATTCCCCAATCCCCGCCTGAGCGCTTGGAACTGGTTTCCCACCAGCCATTCACCCTCTCGGCACGCTCGACCTTAGGGTTGGAGGATTTTTATAGAGGTTAACTTCCTCACCGCCCCAAAAGGCACCCAGGCTCGAAAGCTTACGGGTTGTTGCTATGATGCACCTAGTACATCGTCGCGCTTGTCACATCCACTGATTTTTACTAATGAAAGATACAGGGAGTGACGAAAAGCCTTAAAAAAGGCCCGCCTCGTGGGTAATCCTATGCAGGATTTCCCCATAGCCCACGGTTCATGATGAACCGCGGGTACACCCCAGACCCAGCCAGTTATGGTCCGCGACGGTTTCCCGCTACCACCCATATGTGGGTGGTATTCCCCTATCCACCACCTGGGGACGCGCCCGATGGGAGAACTGGCAACTCCACACGGGGTGAGTAAGTTTCCTAACTCTAGAAGACAATGAGGATATATGAGCTTTAAAAGAAAGGTTTTCGTCTAATGTTATGCCAAGATACTTTATAGCTTTTATTTGTCCTATTTCTATACATTTGCATGATTCGAGGTTGATGCAGTTGGAGTGGATTTTTATAGAAATAGGTATTCGAGGTTGTGAGGCTTTAGTTTTATGGAAACATATAATTTTTGTTTTTTCTGTATTTAGGGTTAAGAAGTTATTGTTTAACCATTCTGAAACCTTACCCAATTCTTGTTCGGCCCTAAAGATTGTATCCAACCAAGACTCTCCATGGCATATTAATACCGTGTCGTCAGCGTAACAACGTCAGATTGCTTGTCAACCGCTTCCACGATGTCATTGGTATATATAAGAAAGAGTGTTGGACCCAGAACACTACCCTGCGGAACTCCGAAATTGATTGGCAGATTAGAGCTAACATGATTTCCAACTTTCACACATTGATGACGATTTGTTAAGTAACTACGAAACCATTTAAGGGGTAAGCCTTTGAAACCTAGACCTTCAAGTTTGTGTAATAAGATCGGCACAGATACGGTGTCAAAAGCCTTAGATAAGTCCAGAAATACTCCTATACAGTTTTTATTAGAATCAAGTGACTTGGAAATTGTTTCTATTACCTTTGTAACTGCGGAATAGCCCCGCCTAAAGCCGTACTGATGCTTGGAAAGACAGTTATTAAGATTAAGATATTTAATTAATTGGTTATTAACAATCTTTTCAAGAATTTTTGAGAAAAGTGATAAGAGTGAGATCGGCCTATAATTTTCAGGACATGTTCTAGGCCCACTCTTGTGTATGGGCACTACACTAGCAAGTTTCCAAGCGGTAGGGAAAATACCAGTAGAAAGACCAGTAGAAGTTTAGTAGGTGTGTTAAAGGTTTCAATATCTGTGGTGCTATAATTTTCAGTAAGGTTCCGTTAATACCGTCACCGCCAGGAGCACTTCCGTTTTTGAACTGCGTAATCAATTTAGTTATTTCATATTCGTCCGTAGGTTGTGGGAAAAATGACTTTGGTGATTGAGAAATATGCTGGATATTTGAGTATTTGTATTGAGATTTTGCTGTTTTCGTCGTAGTCTTTTCTTGAATTTTTTGTGCAAGTTTTTTACCGATATTAGAAAAATAGTCGTTACAAAAATTAAGAGACTCTAATGGGTTCGATTTGCAATTTAACAGGTCAGGATTATCAGAACATTTATCACTGGAGGAACCTATGAACTTTTTAATTGACTCCCATGATTTTTTGGATTGTTTTTGTTTTCTGAGAGCACTTGACTTTCGTAGGATATTTTGAGTCTGCGAAGCAAATCATTACATGCATTTTTATATTTTTTGTAATTATTTTGTCTTACGGGATCCTCAGGATGTTTTCGGGGGTCAAGGTGTAGAGCGTCTCTATGTTTCATACATTTCAGTAGACCCGTGGTAATCCAAGGCTTAAGGGTATACTGGGCTCTTGGAACACGTTTCGTAGACGTATTATTATTTACGATTTCTGTTATTATGGTGTTGAATGTAGATGTTGCGTCGTTAACGTCTTTTGTGTGGTATATGTTTGACCAATCTACTTCCTTTAGGTGTTCGGTTATTTTTGAGTAATTGAGAGTTGACTTAATGCGAGTATGGTATTGCTTTCTTGGGTTCGGGTTCATCATCCCCAACATGACTATGTTATGGTCTGTGATATCTGGTTTGCACACAATTCCAATCATATTTCTGAACCTAGATTTAACAAATATATGGTCGAGGCATGATGATAGTCTCGTTGGTTTGTTAATAACAGAGATAAAGTCTAATTCTGCCATAGAGCAAAGATAGTATGAACATTGAGTATTATCTGTAGATAAAATGTTGATATTAATATCCCCGGTAACAATTACGCAATCGTCATTTTTATAGGATTTGAGTAACGTGCAAAGAGAGGATGTAAACTTTTGACTATTTTGAAAAGATGGCGAACGATAGATGTCAATTAATGTAATATCCGCTATTTTAATTGATAAACAGTCAGCTTCTACGAGGTCTGGTTCACTAGCTGTTGCATTCCAGGATGATTTAACATAGACTACCACACCGCCATTTTTATTGCAAGTTCTAGATGTATAGCACGAAGAATATCCACGAATCTCATCTACAATTGTATCATCGTTCAACCAACAGGATAATTGCGTCGTAACTCTTTTTTTTTTTTTTATGCGAAAAGTTGTCAAACGAGCAGACGGTTCACCTGATGTTAAGTGAATACCGCCGCCCATGGACATCTGCCACACCCGAGGGTTACAGATGCGTTGACAACCTTTTGAAAATTGGGCTCCGGCTACCTCACTCACCAGACGAAACGCGAAAGTTTTTGTCATACTTCCACTTTACGCCGGTCTTCTGTGAGGTCGTGGTAATTACCCGGACGGGCCTGCCCATTCGTGCAACAGCCGAGGCTGCTGTGTGGCCCTACCACCGTAAAACGTAAACTCGTGTTTAGTCTTTCCAAACCTACTAAAAATAAATTAAAATTGTGCCGAATACTGTGAATATTATAAGTTAATATTTTAAAGTTATATTTATCTGCAAGAATATTTTGACAGTTTTCCATAAAGTTAAGCTCAACACATTCTATGTTTAAAGTATGGTCTAGTTCATTTAACGTGTCTAAGTTAATGAGCGTCATTTTTGAGCACAAGTATTAGTTTTAATTATTCTTCCATTGATTGCAATTTCCATACAAAATATGCAGTGAACAATTGGCTTTAAATTGTAAGAAAATATAAGTAAATATTTAATGTGTATATACTTTAAGGAGCCCTTTGGAGTAATTATTTGACGAGAAAAATGTTTAACCGATATATGCATAAGTAATAATAAAATATTGTTTGATTGTGTTTTTGTTTGCAGTGAAATACGTGTATGAAGGGTTTGATTTAGGCACTATGTAACAAAAGTATTTATGACAGGAATATTAAAAAATGTGTGTGAAATAAAAACAGTAATTAAAAATAAAAATAGGAAGATATGTGTTTTTGTTTGACAAAAGTTAAACATCACAAGCACTGGTACCCTTTGCAAACGCTGCAGCGTGTGCGTTGCTCGGAGATGCTGAGCACGCCGGGCCAAGGTACTGATCCAGGTCTTCTTCCGAGCGAATAAGAATAGGAGCTTTGTTCTGTGTTCTCCGCACGTAGATTGCACCATTTCGGATCCAGCAGTATTTATAATCGTATTGTTTAGCGCGGGATCTAGTGGCACGAAATAAAATACGATTCGTTTTTGTGAGCCTTTCATTAATGTACACGGTGTTAGACGATCCGGGCACTATGTCACTACTACTTAAATTTCGACGGACTTTAGCGGCCTTTATCATTTCTGCTCGTTTTGCTTGTCTTAACATTCGGACAACGATAGGGCGTTGAAATTTATTGTCCCTGGCCTGGTTAACGGATGTTTTGCTTGATGAACCTATTCGCGATACTGAGTCAATATCTGTTTCACCAACGTCAATTCCGATTTTCTTTGCTATGACCATGACTATGTGTACCAGGTTTTCATGTGGCTTTTCAGGGATCCCTATAAGTTCTATTTCGTTCTTCAGATTGTACTGCTCCTTTTCATTGGAGCTTCGTTGGAGTTCAGTTACAAGAGCCTTAAGATCTAGTATTTCCAGGTCTTTAGCAGCTAGTTTTTTGTTACACTCAAATAGCGTCTGCGTATCGTTCGATAGTTGTGATTTTAGGTCTTGTATATCTTGTCTTAGTAATTGGATCTCCTTGTTTGTTTGTTTCAGGTTATAAATTTCTTTCTTTAGGTCACGGATCTCTGTGAGCACTGTGTTTAATTCGGATGATGTTGGTAATTTTTCCTCGACTGCCTCGAGTTATTGTGACTGATTCGCGAGGACTAGTCTCCATTGTTGAAATAGTACAAGCTTTGATAGGAGTATCAGAATTATCAGACTTTGGACGAGCTGAAAAGCATGAAGGGCACACCCACTCGTTCTTGTACTTCTTAGAAAATTTAGTATATTTCTCCTCAGTAATTTGTGAACATTCTAAGTCATAACATCCGGCACATACATTACATCTCAAAAACTTTGGCGATGAAACTTCGACGCCACAGCCGTTGCAGATAATAGTCATAATGCGTTAAGAGTGTTAGCAATATTGTGAATGCAATACGCGTATGAGTCACGCAGAGATGAAGTAGCGTACGGAATGAGTGTACTGGCTGGCGACAGCGGGCGAGCGATAGCGAAGTAGCCGTGCAGAGGGTACTGGGCCGATGCGCGAGTGACCGCGGGTAGTAGCTTCAAAATAGGGCAATCGTGGCTATTAAAACTTTAAAGTTTATACTTTTATTATCACAATTTGAAAGTATTATAACACAATTTATATGTCACGAAAAAGTTCATCAACAGTAGTTTAGAACTATGAATAATATGCGTAAATAACACACTTTAAGCGCCCCTACCGATTATTTTGTTGCGGAGCGAATAATGTACGTGTTTCACCACTGACCGCGCGCGATATATTAAAATATATTAAAAAATTAGTTGAATATAGGAACCGGGCATTAATCGTTAACCTTAACCTACGTTGACATTTTTATAACTTTCGCAGCCCTTCAATTTAGAGATAAAATTCGGGCATATGTTCATTGTTAAAATTTATATATTTTGATAGAAAACCGTTTACTATTTGCTCATCCATAAAAAATGTTTAAATTCAAACGTTAAACACTGGTAACGCCTTAACAAGGATTTCATGTTTGACACTTCTTCCGCAAAAAAGTTTTAAAAGTTGTAGTACAGTTTTTTTTAATTTGTAGTACAGTACTATACACTGTAAAAGGTAAAACATAAAAATAAAAGTAATGCCATAGCAATTATCTTAATGAGTACCATAGAAATTGCTCGAACAGGGCAACAAAGAAAACAATACGATAAAGGTTCTCGCCTTCTTGCAATAATGATCGCAATTTTAATACAGATTATGGATATGACATTTCTGACGTCAAAATGACAACTTAAAAATTGAAATAACCCAAAAATAAAATTCTCTTATTAAAATTTCAAAATTTTAAAGTAAAATGCCAAATTCAAGGCGAAGAAAATTTTCTGTGAAACATAACTTTAAAAGTCAACCCGTGGCTCCACCACTAACAGAAGTTCAAGGGAGGTAAAATATTCAAATTTGAGTAGTTTATTAAATTGTATAGTTATGTTCACACACATTTTGTAAGATGTTTAAATATTAACTTCCCAGCATTAGTAATGAAAACATTGAAGTGAAAACGTCCATATCGAATTGTGTCATAAAAGCCAATTCGCGACAAAATGCTTGCATAAATACGAACTTATTGAAACATCCATGTCATGAAAAAAAATCATTTACTAAGACTTCGAACATTATTTTAACGACTGCTAAACATGCTGTTACCAAAGCCGATAAAGACGTCACAGCTAGTTTCAGCTCACGGGAACTGCATAATTTGATGGCAAGTGGCAAACCACCTCTTTCCTGCTGTGATAAAAGCTTTAGTACTAACGAAGATATGACAAGGCCTTCAGCAGAAACTAGCAAACAAAAACCATTAACTCGCAGAGAAAGAAAGTTACGACAACACAGAATTAAGATAAGAGGACCGAGACCTAGAAATTTGTTATCAGATGAATATCAAAAGATAAAGGTAGAAAACAGTATAGGGGTCAACACGGAGGAAATCAAATTATTATTTGGAACATCTTCTACGGAATGTTTTGCAAATGCTTACCTTAGTACAGATAGAAATAGTAGCGAGTCGGTGGAAGACATGTGTCGCATATGTCACGGCGGCGACACGTTATCACAGGAACTGGGCAGTTTAATATCGGCTTGCTCTTGCCGTGGTACAGTTGGCAGAGTGCATGTGAGATGCTTGGAGCGGTGGCTGACGGAGTCTGGCAAGTCGAGATGTGAATTGTGCGGTATCACTTACATTACCCGGCGCGTCCACCGGTATGGCGTGCCCAGAGCTCTAGTCATGTGGATTTTGAGCCAGAATACTAAACAGGTAAATTATTCTCCTAGTCGTAATTATCTAAAAACTTGTGTTTATATATGATGGAACTTTAACTGAATAACTTTATTTCATTTGCATTTATGAAACGCACGCTCTTTCGTTACTTTGGCTTGGAGTATTTTTTCTTATAGCTTTCATGTAAATTGTAACAATTTTGTGTAAGTTCCTATACTATATGTAAAGAAATATTATCAACGCCAATGTTAATATAAAAACTATTCCTAAGTTTAAAGAAAGCCTTTAATATCTACATTTTTATTGGGCCAGCCTCAACCACCTGATGGTATATGGTAAGCCTATTCACTCTTGACATGGAGACGCCTACGTTATAATCGGATGGGAAGACAGATGCCGGCAGGTTGTTCCATTCCTTAGTTGTTCGGATGATGAAGCGAATCGCTTCATTCCTGTGCGTGGAACATTGACAGCAGCAGGGTAGAGCCCCTCCGAACGTCTTATTGTTCAATGGTGGAAAAGGGCGGGAGGAATCAAATCGTGCCACTCCAACGCACATTCCAAAAAGTCGAGAAGCTGCCTTCTCTGTGCCTGTGCTCAAGGCTCATTAGTTTGGTTTTAACCAAGTTACGGTCACCAATGAGCGTTCCAACATGCATCTCCATCGAGTCAGTACTCCACATATAATCGGATTTTAGTTTCTTTTGTATAGATTAAGAAACTGACCGGTGTAAAGTACCGTCACACTTTTGAAAGGACGCCGAACTTCCTTTCTTTGGCTTTAGATTAAATGAACCACCTAAAGTTCAAGTTTGAGGATATTTTGACTCTCAACAACTCAAGGCGATTGCTATAATACAAGGATTTTACTGCCGAATATTATTAAAATTTCCTTCCTAAAAATTGTAAAACATTTTCATTCCATTTTTCTTAAGAGAGTAACTTTTATAAACGTATTTTAAATATATTTTATATGTATATTTTTAACATCTTCTGTTCATTTTCAAAGTAATTTGGTTTTGGTTAAATGTACCGTAGAGAAGCCCTACGGTTAAACTCCTTGAAATATATCAAACGAGTTCTAGCAAAAGAGAGTTGATTTTTTTAAGTATTTTTGTTTTGATATTAAAACTACACCATGCAAAGTATAGTTAAAATAATTTAATTTACATATTTTTCATTGATATAAATTAAACCCTTTGAATCAATTATATTAATTATGCAAATAAGGGATTGTTTGGGTATACAGATGTTACAGTAGGTAAGTTAACTAAATGGTTTTCAGTGCCCGGTTTATATATCACTTTCGCTAGAAGACGATCACAGTTCGTCTATCATATATTTCTTTATAAACATTCATATTTGCTTAATTTTTGTTAATATATGTTAAGATCTAATATTTAAGATTAAAACTAACAAGAATATCCGAACAGAAAAGTGAGAAACGTCTACACTTAGTGAAAAAGCTTTACACTCATGTAAAACTCTGTCGGGTTTGCTGCATGCATCATTCATTAAATCTGCAAAGATAATAGTGTCAATTAATTGCTCATTTGTTCAGTTGATGGTGGACACCTTGGGTATCATGCTGATGTCACCGCTCGCCGTTCTAGCGGCATGGCTCTCTGGAAAGACGCTCGCAACTTTAATATCGCAGGAGAACCATACTTCTCCAGCGCCCTGGCCTCTTGCTTCAACTTTCGTCCTAGCCTGCATGACCCTCGTAAGTAACGGTTGCCGCATTACGCACTACCTCCCAACATACAAATATAATTTTCAAAGATAAGTATATAGTATTTGTACTAGGGGTACAAGCATATTGCCCTATGGAAAGAGCAATACTGAGCTATGTTCGGATTATCTTTGCGTGACACAAGTTGGAATGAGGAACTTAACCTAAGAACTAGAGTCACCGACGTAGCTCTCTGGATTTTCGAATTGAAACTGATATGAGCAGGCCACATCGCTCGAAGTGTTGACCGATAGTGAATAAAAGTTCTCGAGTGGTGACCACGAACCGAAAGACGTAGCGTTGGAAGGCCTTCCTCTGGATTGACATCGTAAAAGTCGCGAGCAATCGGGCGGTGGATGCAAATGGCAGTGTCGTTCGTTATGGAGCACTAATTGAGGCGGCCTTTTTACAGTGAATATCTAACGGGCAACAATTAACAATTTAACAATTTATCCCGAATACCATAGGTACTAGGTGCCATCATCCTCCTGCTCTTATCTTACCTAAGTTTAAATAAAATGGTTACCTTACTCACCAGACGAAACGCAGAAGTATTATACTTCCACTGCACGCCGGTTTTCTGTGAAGTCGTGGTACTTATGCGGATCATACACATCCTTATTTTAGTTATCATCGTTGTGTTAGTAGTCACTGTCAAAAGAATATTCGCAGTATGAATTTGGCGTTTCCCAGGTTTGCTATTACTGTTGGATTGTGTCGGCGGCGACGCGGCACGCACTTAGCTGGTGGATCTGGTACCGGTCCCAGTACGAAGTTAGGCTGCAGTTGAACAGCGACCCTGAAGATTGAGTACTTGAATAGATGTATCTGAAGTCTTGAAACATACAGTGGAAATCTGAATTTTGGCGTAAACAATTAAACAATACATGATTGATGCACTCTGTTTTCTTTTCCCCATGGCCAGCTTGTGTTGAGCCTGTTATTAATGTAATTTCAACAATATTCAAAATTGAAATACAAACTTTAATATATGTATGTTTACATGATATAAATATAATTATAATCCAAATACATAATATAAATATAAAACTGAATGTATTACTCAGTAAAAATATTATCTGCGGTTTTTATTTATCGGGTAGAAGGCAGAAATCAAAACTGATGATTTTTTTATACCCTAATGGCAGGAGTGAATGACTTAAATGCGTCATATCCTTTATATTATGTTCGTTCGTTCACTTAAGGTGAAATACGGGAACATTCTAAGTGTATTCATTTTTTATTAAATGCTAGACATAAATAATGCTATATAAAAATGATAAATATTTCAAATCACTCGTAGTTAATTGCTGCAATGCAAATGCAAGCTTTCTGTAAACTTCTTCTGAAATTGACATGTATGATGACGCAATCGTTAGCTGAATGAACTACATATTATACATTTAAATATGATATTGACTATTAAAGAGTTAAATAGTGAGTTTTATGATAATATAAACAAAAGTGTCTTTTTATGCACTTATTCCGATAAGAGGCGGGACCTGCCATTAATTTCAATCCAGGCTTGGTAAAGCTGTCAGGTAATGCGAAGAAAACATGTCTCATAATGCTTTTTTCTTTAGAGGGGCATCGTCCCAACAGTGTATCAAATTACGGTAGGACAGTTAAACAGACAAAAGGGTGGTCTAAAGAGTTGAAAGTTAAAAGAAATTCATGTTGAACGTTTAGCATTTATATTTCGGTGCGTTCCAGTTTCATTTTGAGAATCACGTTCGAAAACCTTATTGCCTCTGTAAAATAGCATAATGCTGTAGAAAATTGCATTAAAACAGTTGTACATTTTACGAATTATCCAAGGATGATATAAAAATATTTGATATGCTTTGCTACTAAAATTTGTAGATAAAAGTACGAAAACTTTTTCGCCGCTTTTGGAATCGAACCTACTTCTTCGGTATCCACGACCAGACCCTAACCGTTAAGCTTAACGGCTGGTTACCACACCGACGGAAATTTCAACGTCTTTTATAGTGTAGATAAAGTGTAAAAAGAGTGAAGCACTTTAATTTTACAACTTATAGGATCCAATGCTGATGGTAGCACCCGTGTAATTTTTAATTGACTTTAAGTTTGCAAATATCTCCTCTTAATAAATCGGAATTTTTCAAAGATATTTGAAACTATCTAGGATTAACAAAAAAAAAACGTGAATTTCCTGTTTTTTATGTATTTTCCTTGTTCACCTTTATAAAAAACCACACAGTACAAGTATTTATCAAAGAATGGATTTTCATTTTAAAGAATAATGGTATATCTATCATCTAAACAAACTGTTTTGATCGAAAATACACTTACGATTACCTGAACTTTGCTCTTTTTGTCTATTTCTGGTCCATTGCGAGCTGGAGAACTTAGCCACGAAACTACTCTTGGATAAATAACACCATAAACAATCAGTGTGAAGTGGAAGTGTTATACTTATATACGTTTTATATTTTTATATATACGTTTCGTCTGGTAAGTGTACCTCACTTTATTAAACCGGTTAATACTTTATTAAAATTTGGCAACGCATTCGCAACCCTGCGGAAATAGCAAAGCTTGCCACCGTCTCACATAAAAAACGCACATCTCACATAAAACAATTTTCTTTGTCATCTATCTCTCTCTCTTCCAAGCTATATATCCCACATGGTGGTCAGCTTTCCTTACTTTGCTCTCCACTTCGCTCTATCGTCGACATGTTCCTCGGACTCTTGACATTCTACCATGTCCCTAGCACTACATCTTTCCATCTTTTTTTCGCCCTACCTCAGGACCTTTTTCCAGGCACAGAAAGTTGCAGTGCTAAGTTTCCTGCGTAGTTTGGTGGCCTCCTCTTTACATGCCCGTACCACCGCAGCCTACTCTCCCGCATCTTATCGGCGATGTCGCGTACCCCTAGGCTTCCTCGTTATTTTTATTTTTTTTTATTTTTTTTATGCGAAAAGTTGTCAAACGAGCAGACGGTTCACCGGATGTTAAGTGAATACCGCCGCCCATGGACATCTGTCACCCGAGGGTTACAGATGCGTTGACAACCTTTGGAAAATTGGGCTCCGGCTACCTCACTCACCAGACGAAACGCGAAAGTATTTGTCATACTTCCACTTTACGCCGGTCTTCTGTGAGGTCGTGGTACTTACCCGGATGAGCCTGCCCATTCGTGCAACGGCTGAGGCTGCTGCGTGGCCCTACCACCGTTAAATTCTTTCTCATCTATCCAGGACCAATATGTGAGTCGGGCTGTTAATGGCATTGGCTAGACTTTTTTTAGGATCGGTCACCTGACTGATGTCAATCCTATTTGAAAACACCCAGATCGGAACAATTATCTGAGGGTCACTAAACACTTTCCCCGTAGGAATGGAACTCGCGACCCTCGAAACATAAAATTTTTAGCAATTTCCGATAGTAAATGTACTTATGACCTTTATTTATTGACAAGGGCTATGAGTTTCTCTCTAAGATTTTATTATAAGTTATTTCTAATATTTTAATTCGATAAGCATATCTAGTACAAGAGCCCTCAAAATAACGGCTAAAATATCATTGAAAATACAACCGGAGACGCCAAAGCCAATATCTTGTCATCCGCTCATCATATTATATTTATAATCAATTTTATTATCGACAAAAAGGTCGTAAAAGGAGGGTAGCTCGGTCGGCTGTCGAGTACATGTGTCTCGAATTTAAAAATTGTTTTAAAATATTAAACAGTGCTTTTTAATAAGTGAACACGTATTTTGGAGGATAATTTTAGTAGTGTTATTGGACACATTAGTGCATTAAAAGTGAAATAGTTTTAAAGTGCAAAATAGAAATTACACATAGCAATCAGCTGATCATAACAACACAATCAGCTGTTTGATATTGCATCGCTGCAAAACAACAGCAGTGAACAGGACCTAAATAAACTTATTATTTAAATGTAAGTAAGTTTAACAGTGTAAATAATACACTTGTTTGTAAACATCATTTTAATTATATTTAACAAAAGTACATACAAAACAAAAACACTGCGTGCAGTGACATCTTTGGACTTGCTATAAACTAAAGGTACTTTCCGATAAAATGGCAAATAAGTGTGGCGCCTGCGGAAGATTTGCTTCTACAATGGACTCAGTAAAATGCCTGAGTTGCATGCATTTATTTCATCGCAAATGTGCTGGTATTCCTATTGACGGCCATGTATCAGGTAAATGGCAATGTAGCGGTTGTAAAACAAAACATGTATCTGTTACGCCTAGTTCGTGTAGCTCCGGTGGCCCGGATACTGAGTTCGGCGACGCACAGCCCGGACCCAACGAGAGAGGGCACTGTGAAGACAAGGTTGACTTAGCAAACGAGTTAAAATTAATACGCGAGCAGTTAACTACTATTGCTCGTGAAATGGTATCTTTTCGCCAAGAAATTGCTAACGTTAACTCCAATGTTAGTGAACTAAGCAACAAGGTCATCGACGTCGAGAAAAGGGTCACATATCTCGAGCAGCAGGCGATGGATATACCGAGCCAAACTGGAGGATCCGAAGTCGAAGAAAGCATAACAGAGTTAAAGTGTCGACTTAATGAGCGGGATCAGGAATTGCTTTTAAACGACGTCGAGATATCTGGTGTAACAGAACTTAAGGGTGAAAACCCCTTGCACCTCGTCACTTTGCTTGCCGCCAAAATAGGCGCTGAATTGGATGAGCGCGATGTAGTAAGTGCGAGACGTATAGGCATACGCCGCGAACAAATACCAGGCAGCACCGATAAGCCGAGGCCGCGCCCGTTGGTTGTCCGTCTCGCTCGTAGAGTGATACGCGACAAACTAATTCATGAAGCGCGCGTTCGGCGAGGTGCGGATACTGTTGGTTTGAACTTAAGTGCCGAGCCGCGCCGATTTCATGTTAATGAGCGGCTTACCTCAATTAACAGGCAACTGTTTTATAAGGCACGGGAAGAAGGACGGCGCAAAGGATGGAAATATGTTTGGACGCGAGACGGATGTATTTTTGCGCGTCGTGATTCTGGCTCACCGCGTCATTGAATTCGCACAGAAATGGACATAAATAATTTTTTTGCGGAATGAATAGTTTAGAGCGAGTCCTGATCTTCTTTTTGTTCTTATTTCTTGCAAGATGTTTGTTTGGGTGCAGTTCAGATTTCCATCACGATCATCTCTTTGTTGTAATTTTTCGTACGCATCTATATTATAGATATTACAAGTACCTTTTTATTTTTGTTTAGAGTACATTTTGTTTCCACTTTATTATTAAGGTACATAGAATTTTTATTAAGCTGTTGGGCTGCAAAGATTAGCGAAATATGGAGTAATTTTTTTAAATGTTATTTTGTAGTTAAACTTTTCGGGTTATTGCATTTATGTTTTGTTTTAGATCATAGTGAATATGGTGACAGATTTTATATTTATACTTTAATGTGTAGCAGCATAAAGGGAAATTACGGAAACGTATGAGGGCGTAAAATTTTCAGTAGTCATATAAAATGTAATGTTGTGTGTTTGTCAATATACATTGAGATATATTTAACCGTATATAAGCAGTGGTGTCAAAGTCTAATTTATCATGTTTACCTTTGGATTATTATTAATTTTATATTGTTCACGTTTTATTTATATGAAAATAAATAAGTTGAATAAGTTAAAAATTGACTTCTTAAACCATGGCTCTCTCGGTACTGGACACGACGAGTTCATAGCTGCTATGGCATATCAATCGGTAGACATAATGGCCATCAACGAAACATGGCTTCGGGCAGGGGAGGAGGGGCGAGCGCTTTGCGTGCCGGGGTATCGACTGCGACACGTTCCCCGGCCTCCCGAGGTTCGTGCGCGCGGTGGGAGTGTGGGTTTTTATCTGAGACAGGGCTTATCATCACGAATTATTCAGCATCCGAGTTGTCCCACGGTGGAGCAAATGTGGTTAAATATTAAAATTAACGGTAAGTCCCTTATTTTCGGTACTGCTTATCGCCCCCCCTGGTTAAGCGTGTCATTGTTTCTGGACGCGCTGAGCGAGTCCTTAGGTTCTTTTGTAGGCTACGATCAAACAGTACTGCTCGGAGATTTTAACATCGACATTTTAAATAAAAATTGTGTCAGTACCAAAATGCTGTCAGACTTCCTAATGTGTCATAACCTAGTGCAATATGTTGAGGAACCTACACATTTTACAGAACACAGCGAGACACTCTTAGACATTGTTTGTACAGATGCATCAGTGTCATACATAAAAGTAGATTATATTAATGACCTCAGTAGTCATGCTTTTATTGTATGTGAGCTTAATATTGCTAAGCCTAAGTTTCAGCCTAAGTGCATCACATATAGACCTTTGAGGGAAATGGACATAAATATCTTTAAACAATGTTTAATACATATCAACTGGCACTGTGCATTGTCTAATAATATAAACGATATGATTTACTCTTTCAATAACACTGTATTAGATGTATTCAATGCTCACGCACCTTCTAAAACTGTTTATATTAAAAAAAAGTTATTATCCCTGGATAACGTATAACATAAAATGTATGATGAGGACGCATAACGAAGCACAAGCCAGAGCTCGCAAAACTAAACTTACTCCACATAAGGATTATTATAGGGAACTAAAATCAATAGTAAGTAAAGCGATATTTTCAGAAAAGACTGCCTATTTCAAATTTTATGATAACTCACAAACTAAAGCAACCAAAAATAATGTGGAAACATATTAAACAACAAGTATAAGTAAAAAGTAAGGATACCTCTCTACCATCTCATTTTAGTGACCCTAATGACTTAACGAACATTTTTTGAATATTCCTGGAAATAATGATGTTACATTGTCCCCTCTCACCTTCTTTGAATTTAATGGCACTAATGATAGCTCTTTTAATTTCAAAGAAGTCTCAGAAGATCAGGTTGTTAAAATTATAAACTCTCTGTGATCTAATGCAGTGGGATGCGATGGCATTTCACTTGATATGTTAAAGTTATTACCTAAAGATGCTATTACAGAAATAACACGTATAATTAATACATCGTTTGCGACACATACCTACCCGGATCTCTGGAAAAAAGCAATCGTGAAACCTATACCTAAAACTAGTAACCCTGTTTATATGTCGGATCTTAGGCCTATTAGCATCCTACCGTGCCTTTCTAAAGTTATTGAAAACGCTTGCATGTAATCAACTAACAGAGTACCTTGAATCAAATAATATCCTTCCTAAGTTGCAGTCTGGATTCCGAAAAAAGCACAGCACTACCACTGCGCTTATAGCGGTCGTAGATGATATATTGACCGCACAGGCGAGTGGGGAAGGTACAATTTTAACGCTTCTTGATTTCTCACGCGCGTTTGAAACCCTAAATATTCCATTACTTCTGTCCAAATTATATTTTTATGGAATTAGTAGAAGCGCAACTCATTGGTTTGCCAGTTACTTTGAAAATAGGTCACAACGGGTTGAAATGCACATAAGTGGAAGGGACAAGACTATCTCTGGAGAGCGACTTGTGGACTGAGGTGTACCACAGGGTCCATTACATACATCTTAGGTCCATTGCTTTTTATAATATGTAGTGCAGATCTTATTAAAAATATTGAGTATTATAAGTATCACATGTACGCTGACGATTTACAGGTATATATTTCATTTAAGCCTCGTGATGTTCACTCAGTGGTAGCAAAGTTAAATTTGGACTTAAGTCGGATATACTTGTGGTCAGAGCGTAACGCACTAGTTCTCAATCCAAAGAAATCTCAGTACGTGATTCTAGGATCGCCAAATCAAATAAAAAAAGATCATACTTAGTCACCCTGCCATTACCGTAAACAAAGAATCCATTGTAAGAATGGCGGAAGTCAGAAATTTTGGGGGTAATAATGAAAGAGCTGCGTTTTGAGAAGCATGGGTATTGCACGTAACTGCTTTTACAGGTTGAAAGTACTCTATCGTGATTACCTAAGTGTTTCCTTTTCTGTGTTCGAATTTCTCGTTCTTTCAAAATTAAATTACGCGGATTCTCTCTTAGGTCCACGTCTATTATCACGAAGAAGGCAAATAATACAAAGGGTACAGAACGCCTGTACACGCTTCTGTTTTAATATACCTCCACGTGCAGATGTACCGCCTTTTATTAATAACGCAAATATCCTAAAGATGGACTTCCGCAGACGACTCGCCTCACTTTTATTTGGAACTATTAGAAACAAAGAGCCGTTATATCTTTACAATAAGTTGATTTGGGCTAAAGATCAAAATGAGATGTATAATACGAGATCATCTAATTATAAACTAGTTTATCCTTTATAACGTTCGGCCGCTTTTAGAGGCAGTTTCAAATACAATGTCACTAAGTGTTGGATCAACCTCCCGCCTCCCTTGCTTGACCTGAAAACAATAAGTGGGTTTAAAAACAAATACAGATTGTATCTGCTTGTAGAACAAAAAAAATGCTGCCGTTTAATTCTTATCAGCTTAATTATACGCTATAATATAATATAATTATAACTGAATATAATATATATACATAATATTTTTTTTATAAACATATATCATAATTTATATACTTATAAGACACTCATTTTGTTACCTTTATCATGTGGCCAGCGCGCAACGAGGTCTGTCTCGCATTTTACGTTTCAAATTAAGTCACGTGTCCACTGCTCGATCGGTAAATGTCACAGTGCCACAGAGTAGGGATAAATATTGGTAACCTAAAACCAAAATGGAAAAAAAGCAGCTGACACCAATATCAAATAAGAAAACATTAGTTCAAATTTTTACTTACCTCTTCAGACGAATGATATCCACTGTCTATATAATTGAAAGGTTTTAAACAAAAATAATTTAAGTATCGCTATACTGCGTTGTAGGTATGTATTACAAGTGCACTGACGCAGCCGTCCGAGTTGTCTCGAAGTGCGGGCGGACTGAAAACCGGCGTCGGGATCAGAACGAATCTTAGTTACTGTATCTCGACTTTTACCGAGTCCCGTCCGTTTCACGGTCTTATGCTGCTACCTACACAGACCTTCACTTATTATTATTATTATTTTTTGTTATTTTTACATTTATTTTAAGTTATTCTAATATTATTTTACATAATGTGTAGTTACATTATTATTTTTAAGTGTTCTTTGTATCTATTGTGCTTAGACCGTGAATAAACGTTTCTTCTTCTTCTTCTTCTTCATATTGGAAATTTACATTTACGCCGTACAATTTAAACGTCACCTCTTTAGTTTAAGTAGAAAATTAAATGTTTTTTTTACATGAATCATTTATTCACAAAGCAAATTTTTTGTGCAGAGTCCACACTTACCTATCTCGTACATAAGAAACTCCTATATGGTATAGGTTTCTTTTCTATTTACCTTATTAGGCTGTTCGTTCCCAGTCTGAGAGTTAATAGTTTTATTAAGAAGATATACATTTTGATAAGAAATTAATTTCTTCAGTACTCATAATTGTAGTTTTCAATTTTCAGATACCCTGTAGGTTTGCTTCTTTGGATAAAATCCTTTTACCAGGCAGTCTTTAATTAAGATTTACTGGCTTCGGTATCCTGCTAAAATAACAATGTTCATTCGTGTCTAATAAAATTATCCAGTGTCTTTAAATATGCTGTATTGGCTTGTAATCACATGAAATGGTTTTATCATTACGCATAACAATTATGCACGGAGCCTTGAGTTGACGTCATATGTTTTAGGCCATTAAACTCATCCATATATGGCCGTAGGAGCAAAAAGGTTTTCGAGTGGAGACCGCGTGACGACAAGCGCAGCTTAAGAATGCCTCCCACAAGGTGGACGGTTACCTAGCCAAGATCGCAGGGACGCGTTGGATGCAGGCCGCTAACGAACGGTCGGAGTGGAAGTCAGTGGGGGAGGCCTGTGTTCAGCAGTGGACGTTCTACGGCTGATATGATGATGATCACTCCATATAAGTGTGTAGTGATTTTCCAAAAATGAATATGTGGTATAATAAATTCAAGTTTATAGCCACAAAAGGTTTATATATAAATTGGTAGATCAGTCAGCCAGGCAGTGTTCGTCCTTCTTTTATGCATTACAGGAATGTATTTTAAAAATAAAAGTATTAATATAAAGCATAAGATATTAATAAAGATATGAATAAAAAACACTTTTGGAAAAAAAGCGTAAGAAAATGTACTCCTATCATTACGCATTCACAACAAATATTCGTAATTGAAATATTAAACTATTTGTCAAAATAAGATAAAAATATTAATGGGGATATATTTTATCACTTGGAATTTTGCTAACTTTTGTCATAAATTAATCAAACCTCACGAGATGCGACAAATGTTGAAAACGTTAAGGGCAGGCCCGTCCGGGTAAGTACCACGAAAAAAACTTTCGCGTTTCGTCTGGTGAGTGAGGTAGCCGGAGCACAATTTTCCCCTCGGATGTGGCAGATGTCCATGGGCGGCGGTATTCACTTAACATCAGGTAACCCGTCTGGTCGTTTGACAACTTTTCACATAAAAAAACGTTCAAGGAATAAGGTATTAAATTAAACGCTATACTAATAATATTTACACACCTTTATTTGTTATGATTAGTACGGTTTGTCACGTTTGAACTAATTATTTCATCTTTATCACAACTCTACAAAACAAATTAATAAAAAGTTATGCAAATTTATCATGACAACGGATAATTCCTTATGTGTGTCTTTAGTACTATTTTAAGCTTATAATTTAATTTTAATGTTATATTTGGTCAAAAAAGAACTATTCTTAAGACGCAATTGGTTCAGTTCTTGATTGAAGAGACGTCATCCAACCAATCTGGCCACCTCCTGATCTCATTGTATAATTTACGACCCGGACTCTCGATGGCTATCAGCTGACGGTGGGCCACCACGTGATAGTTAGAGGTCAAATGACCTTGCTGCACGCCGCACTGAATCAACGCTTTCACAGCGTCCAGAGCCTTAGTTTTCGGTTCGTCATCTACAATGTTAATATTCAAGAATTATTTTTTTTTTCCGAATTTGTTAGCGTTTGAATATCATTACATGTTATCATCACTACATAGTATAAAACAAAGTCGTTCCGCAGTCTGCCTGTCTCATGTATGCTTAGATCTCTAAAACTACGCAACGGATCTTGATGCGGCTTTTTACTAGATAGAGTGATTCAAGAGGAAGGCTTATATGTATAATACATTGCACCCGTGCGAAGCCGGGGCGGGTCGCTAGTTGATTATAAAGGCAAGCTTACGACGTCGTTTACTTGAGAAACGGTGTGAGGCAATTATGCTTAAAGAACGTATATAGACTTACGCTTTAGCCCGTAGGGAAGTTCCTAGCAATTTTTCTATTAAACATATTCAAAACGTTACAAAGCTCAGTGAAGTGTTTGTTAGAGTTCTTTAAAACTTTTAAACCTTTAGATTGATGTCCTTTGATGACGTACGTCTTGAGACTTTGATCTATTACACCGCTAAAGATTCTAAAGAGTGAACGAACTTTAAAATTAATTTAATAACTAAGTTATTTTCAATTGAAACAGTAATACGAAAATAAAAAAAAATGTTCATAAATTTTAAAGTACAGGGGCCAAACTATGTACAATTTTGATGGGACCAAATGGCAACTATTCCGCATCAAACTAAAGAAGAATCGCGTAAATCGGATCATAAATCTCTGCGTAATCGGTGTACATATATATAAAAAAATATATACCAATCGAATTGAGAACCTCCTACTTTTTGAAGTCGGTTAAATAACATCCAGGTTTTAGGCCTATCCACGTTATATTAAACAATGGAGAAGTTATCTGTTTTGCAACTTTTGCTTATTAGGCAATGCTTCGTTAATCATAATGATTACGTGATAAGCCCATTGCCCAAATTCGAATAACAAACTTAGGTGCACACAAAATGATGTGATAGTGAGTTCAGTTTAAGCATTTCGCAATAAAATTTTAAGTAAATGATTATCTATTAGCGGTCATCCTACACTTAGTTTGGCTGTACGATTTCTCAACTTGATAATTAGAAGTAATAAAAGTAGTAAAAAATGTATTTAAATTTTCACAGAACAATATACATACATGTGAATACTAATAATGACTTGTATATTTAAGTATATGGAGTCGTCTAAATTTGCTTATACAATAGTCACTATTCGTCTATCCGCTTATTTACTTACTATTAAAATTCCCGATGAAAGCAATACCAATAGATTTACTATTGTAATTGTATGTGTGAGCCCCCACGTGTAGCCAACCGGGACCTTCGTATATTTTACCATTACCACCAACAAGAAACCTGAAATTGGACACACGGGATGTGTTATTAGAAAATTGCAAAAACCAAAAGTATTCAATTAGGCCTGTATTTCTTTAATCTTGAGGTAGACAGAGATAGCTCATTTAGTCTAGTCTCATAAACGACAATTGTTCATACTACGCCTTCAAGAAATCCGAAAAATACGAAGCTCTAAAAGTTATATTCAAATCCGTAAAACTAGTTACTTTGATGACTCCGTCGCGCAGTTGCCAAGGCATTGATACTGTTGATACTCACGTAGGCTAAAACAAGACTATTGTACCTGTACTATTATATTGTAAACTGATTTTCTAAAAAAACAGCAACTGTTGAGTTTCTTGCCGGTTTCTTCTTAACAGAAACTGCTTTCCGAACCGGTGGTAACTTACGAACGTGTTAAATTCTTGACGTTTCATAAGAACGCGCAAGCGTCTATGTCAATAAAGATATTTTATTATTATATTATTATTATTATTGGCTTCGGCGTCGGGGGTCGTGGGTTCGATGCCCACACGGGACAACTATTTGTGTGACCTACAGATAGTTGTTTCGTATCTGGGTGTTTGTCCGCGTGAAATTTATGTTTGTAAAACGTCCTTACAACATAGGATAATGTTATCCTAAAGTAAGGGTAATGTTTTTACAAAAAAGAAAAAAGTTATAGTAAGTTTACAAACTTAAGATCAATTGGTTACGATAATAGAAGTTGGCTTGTCCACCTTTAGAACATCAGTAAAAAGGGGAATTAACTAACGAATGTCCAATGTCCCAGTAGTTGAGGCTCTCCATATGATAGGATTGGATGTTCCTCACTAGCTCAGCGCAGCCAGAGTCCGTTTCACACGTGGAAGTGGCGGTATGTTGGATGATCACGAGGTCCACGGGCCTTGGCAAATACTTCACTCGGACTGGACGTAGACCATCCCAGTCTTTACGCGACACGATCGTTGGACAACCTGCCGAGAATTATTAGTTTGAAATACATTGATAGTACATATAAATAGTGAAGAAACGTCAAATTTATATTTCGTGTTGAAATATTACTTCAAAAATATCGAAAGTAACTCGCTTCATAAACACTGATTATGGCTTAAACCAGACAGGAAATAGCATTTTATTTTTAACAACGGGTCCGATCACGTTCAATGTGTTTCTATTATATACATTAAATATAGCAACATTGTCTTAGTAAACTTTTTAAAACATATAAATGTGATTAACGGAAACCATTTTACGGATTTCATTGCGTTTTATTTTGATTTTTAAACTCTCTTTCCAGCGTTCATGGTCGTCCATGAACTCTGAAAGGGATTCGAAATGTCGAAAATTTATAAACCAAATGAAAACGCGATAACCATGTATAATATTCGCGTAAAAAAAATCAATATACATGTGAACTGGTTCATATCAGAATATGTTTTGAGAATGGTACCGGTATTTAGGTCTCAAGAAATAAAAGTTTAGCCAGCAGATAGCTACTACTACTAAAATTACGAAGTATGCTCTTTTCGTTGCAAATATCATAATACCAGCTGTATTTAAATGTTATATAATGTATTTAATATGTAATTTTAGACAGTATATATCTATAGTAATTTTAATTAAAAAAAAGTATGTTTACTTAGTACTGACAAATTGATCACAATAAATGTACGACGGCCCCATAAAAAAATTTTGGCCCTTCCGGTTGGCGGCGCTGTAACTTACTAAGAACGACTACACTTTATTGTTTGTTAGATGATGTTTTCGCCAGCAAAAATATCGATTTTACTACGGGCTAGCTTATATCAAAAACTTGTGCATAAAGCATTCTATGTTTACTTACTATGAAGCGTCGTCGTTATAAAAAAATACAGTAAATAAAGTAACACAAGTCGTTCACAACAGTATGATATAAAGAAAATTACTCACTCGAACCCGCAAAACACCATTGCAGAGACAGAATAACACTGCAATAACTTAATAGCGCGAAATGCATTGCGAAGTACCGAGTTCTCCCGTCGTCAAAAGCACACTGAAATGACCCAAGATTATCACCACTATACATTAAATACAAAAGCAACATGAACCTGTGGTCAACGGCACTCATATCGTCTCTATCATTCACTCGCATGTTAAAGGAGATAGAATATAAATATAATTGCAGCATTCCTGGAGACGTTATAAGTGGCTGATACATAAATGGGTCCGTATGAAAAAAAAAAGTTAATATAAACCTGTAGATTTATTTCTTTATTTAAGATTGCAATTCAAAGTCGAGTAGTAATAGATGATCGTAGTAAATAATGTAAGGAAAATGAATATAATAATTAATTACACCGTATAATTTGAACAGCATTATTATTTAAACAAAGACTAGACTTATCGCCGTGGCTGGTGACAAGAGGGCTGTTTCTTTTCGAGCTTAAAGGTTAAGCATACCTTATTAGAAAGGATGTGCAGCTCGCGTTCTTATTATTTAATCTTTTATCCAGCATTCTTTTTGTTCAATAAATATATAATATTTAATACTAAAATCCAACAAAAGCAAACAAATCATTATGTATTAGTTAAAATAACTAATTTTGGCTTATATACTGAATAATCCATAATAAATATCAAAGTTTAGTTCATATTCGTTGCAATCAAAACTATTTGTTATTGCAGACGAAGAGAATGTGTACACATGTTCAAGGAACTCTAAATTATATCAAATAGCAGTGACCTCTAACCTTGAATGTTTAGTCTTTATTCGATCGTAAACGGGGATTCCTGTTTAAGATTGAGCGATACAATGTTTTTGTTTTTATTAATACTTACAACTTAACAAATGCGAATTTCTTGTATTGGTAAGCAATTTCTTGTGAACTAGTGATATTTTCCGCAATCATCTTTCCCGGTCAACCCACCCGATGAATCCATCTGATACGATACGGTGTATAGCAATATCGTTACAGCGCTATACAACATATCGATAAATAATATGAGAACACTTCGATATATCGTTCTCATACAAAAATATCGCATTAACGTATCGAATCAAACAATAACATTTATAGTTATATTTACACTACATTTCAATTCATGTTTGTCACAAAAATTCTCACACTATTTTTTGTGACAAATTTAATAATTTATTAACATTTTAAAACTCGCTGCTTATTATATTACTATTATAAACGTTTTTCTTAAAATGAAATTGATTTAAACCTTGAAGAAATTCGTTTCATTACTTTTTTAAATTTCATACAAACACAAACAAGATATGATTCACACGTGTGACACAGCGAATAACGTTGCAAATAACACTAAACACCGTATGTACTAGTTCTTCCCCACCACCGCACCGGGAAGAACCGACCTACGGTTGTTTGTTTTAATTGTGAAAATTATCAGCTCATTTCTCCTATCAAGGTTCCTCTTTATTTGCATGTATAAACATAAACTATATTATCCTTGAATATCTTTAACAAAATACTTGATTAAAATTAAAAAAAAAACCTTAATCTAGATAAATCTAAAATAAGGAAAGATAACATGTAAAGATAACAAGATAACATAATTACTGGTTGCATGACAAAATTCAAACATATTGTTATTTAAACGTTTAAAACTACGAAAAATAACCTATTTTACTCGGAGAAAATTCTTTATTGTTAGAATATAAATATGTTACTATGTATAGTTAATATTTATAGTAATAGTAAATATATGTTATAAGATCTCTGAGGTTATTGCCGGAAACAAAGTAAAAAAGGAATAAACTAAAATATATCCAAATACTGAATTCAAAAACTGCATGTACACGTACTTCCTTCAATAACTTATAATAATGTTTTGGATAAGAGAAATTAAATTGTTTATATAAAAAAAATATTATATGTAACTAATGTGTGTTTTCGGATATGGAAAACTTTTCAGTTAATAACAAAACAATAAACAAGTTAATCATACATTTCTATAGTATCTTCTGTTACTAAACGTTTTAATACAAAGCAATTATTCACTCTTGGAATACTGCTTTTTATTGAGTATAGGCACCTTAATTTATCGTACACGTAATACGTCTATGATTTTATCCATGGTTTTTGTACAGGGTTTTTAGCAAGTGTAATTAGACCCATTAAAGACATAATTTATCTTTAAATTAGGGTAGGGTCGCTTTTCTAATGGAATACGGGGCAAACGGCAGGATGCTCACATATTGGGAAGTGCTTCCCACGAACAATGCAATACCGGAGAGCTTGCAAGAGGCCGAGGAGCTTCTTGGCCTTTCAGGAAGGAATATGCTCTCTTCTTCTTGAGGGTTCCTCGGCCGTAACGGTTCTGAAAGTTCACGCGATAGCTGGGTCCACAGAGTGGTTGTGCGATTAAGAAAATGCCTTAAAAATCACACTATTGTGGAACGCCGGATATCGAGGTGGAGTGGAAGGATTTTGCTGTTCTGGCGCGATATTCGATGGTGAAATTTATTGACCACGATCAATCCAAACAAGACATCGGAACGCTCGGGGACTTACCACAGCATCACAGAAAAGCAATTTGAAGTTGCGAGGGTTGAATTTATGATAATTTACAATTTTTTTATGTATGCTAATCTCTGCACTTTAAGATTAAACATTAAAATTTGTAGAAAATGTACGAAAATATTGTCGCCGCTGTGGGAATCGAACCCACGTCTTTGGCATTCGCGGCTTGACGTTTTAGCCACTAAGCTAAATGGCTGATTCTGACACCGAGGAAAATCTTAACGTCTTTTAACTCCATTGTTTTTAGCATTTGAAGCAAAGTTATGATACATTATTTGAAAAATTATACTTCTGCGTTTCGTCTAGCGAGTGGATTGGCCGAGGCAAAAAAGTCACTTCACCCACCAGACAAAACGCGAAAGTTTAATACTTTCAATTCACGCCGGTCTTCTGTGAGGCCGTGGTACTGCCTCTTACGTGCCTGATGGGTAAAACGGGACCCTTTTGCTAAGGCTCCGCTGTCTGTCTGTCTATTCTTCTGTCACCAGACTGTATCTCATGAACCGTGATAATTAGAATGTCGAAATTTTCACAGATGATGTATTTCTGTTGCCGCTATAACAACAAATACTAAAAAAACAAAAACAATGCTCCCATTAAAACAGACATGATTTTTTTCCGTTTTATACATTATGGTACGGAGGCCCTTCGTGCGGGAATCCGACCCGCACTGAAGGTTTTTTTTAAATTAAAACCTTAAATATTTATTTACCAAAAATATTATAAGCATACATCTTATTAAACTAAATCTAGTTTTCAAGCTCTACGACATGTCTATAACAATCGAGTTATTAGCACACGTTTTGAACTATCGACTAAAAAATAATCTGTCCTAATATAAAAAGTTCCTCGAAACTATTTGTCCCTTTTCTATTCTCCACTTTAAGGAGATATCAATTTGCCGTTCAGTCGTTTCTGATCCTAATCCAGTGTCTTGAAATAGTATCTCGATCGACAGAAATTAATTAAAGCACTCTCAGAAAATTTATTTGGATTTCAAATAAATTTTATTTCTTTATGGTATTCTTATGTACAACAGCGTACAGTAGGTACTAAGATTATTTTAATGATAATTAAAATTATAATACGAGTATATTCTGCATTTTGATTGCTTTTTTAGACTAATGCCAACTGCATTATCCGTTATTGCCAAATGTTATAATTTATTTAAGTTGAACCAATGGTAATACTTGTCAATAAAAGCGGAAGAATTATATTAATACCAAGTGTCAGATAGTGTTATTGTAAGCTAAGGCTACACCTACTTAAACAATATCTGAAAAATCCGAAGAATTCGATTAAATATCCGTGTCAATTGTAAAATAATCTAAAAGGGGCAAACCAAGATGAAATGTCGGTACTTTTAAGAAAAGCAAAATGAAAATTTTCTTAGAAAATACATAATATTGGTATTATAAAAGTTAATTTTATAATGGCAAAATTATTAATTTCAGAAAAATAATGTTATTACATAAGTTGTAGGAAATTCCCTCGAATTTAATTTTATTAATAAAATGTTTATTACAGTGTTAGCTTTATTTCAATACCTTATTTAAAGCAAAGTTAAAATATAACGTTTACTTCGAGGGTATTAGGTAGCATTATTCATAACGTATAAGTAACCTATTAATAATAATCGTTATTGGTTAATCTTAATAAAGGTTCTCTAAGAATTTTACAATACCCATAAGAATGATTAATCACAATATTTTTGAAGTAAAACTTCTTTAGGCGCGACTAGGGAGTAACTCAGATTTTTTCTGACGGAAGTAACGCTTTTTCTGACGGAAGTAACGTCATAAGTACGAGTATGTCATATTTTTAAAAGAAGTTTTACTTCAAACGCGCGTAAAGGTTACACGCACACACTTTTTTTTATTGAAAAAAGGGGGCAAACGAGCAGAAGGCTCACCTGATGGTAAGTGATCACCTTCGCCCATGAACATCTGCAACACCCGAGGGCTTGCAAATGCGTTGGCGGCCTTTTAGGAAAGAATATGCTCTCTTCTTGAAGGATCCCAGGTCGTAACGGTTCGGAAAGACCGACGGCAGCTGGTTCCACAGAGTGGTTGCGTGAGACAGGAAATGTGTGAAAAATCGCGCTGTTGTCGACCGCTGGACATCGAGGTTTTTCGATGAAATTTTTACTTTTGAACTTTGGTGAAAGTTCGTGCTGACGAACTACCAAAGGGTCAAGCCCCCTTTCTACTGGTACACCAGTTTTGCAATGGTCTTCTCCCCAACTTCACGCCCCTCTTCGGGATGAGCGCATGGGTTGGTTAGCGCTCTCCGCACACGGATTTTATGGATGTATTGTTTTCATGCAGCCGTGTATCTTCCCCACATTTTTTGACCACTGACCTGTTTTGTCGAGCTCTGAGTGAATTCAGAAGAGTTGCAATGTGGACTATCTGTTACAATATTAGGTGTTAGTTTAAAGGAAATATATATTTATTAGATTTAGGTAAACTGAATGCTACTTCAAGCGAATTAGGATAATTTTTCTTGTAATGCTAGACGTAAGGTGTTAAATAATTAAATAAATAAATTAAATAAAAATTATGATATGGGTGAGCGAATAGTCCGTATGAATGCTTGTATGTAAATATATTGTGATGTCTCAAGTGGGTTAGAATTGATTAATTAAAAATCTAAATGACAATCTACGTCTTACACCGCCGCTGGTAAATATTTATCCCTCTGAGAAACACCTAAAAGAGTCTGGTTATTAAAGGAACACAACGTAGAAATGGTCCTACCTAATTCGACGATCACATTAATATGTTATAAGAAAGACCTTAAAGAAAGATCGTTACTTTACCTTGGTCACGAAAATATATTATATCATTTATTCATATAATGGCAAAAAATACTAAGGGGAGGCAGGTGACAGTTACAATTACCTACTTTATTATGTACGAGTATAAAATATTTTTCGTTTTATAGTTAATCAACAAAAAAACTAACACGTCGTGGACAGATAGCACTAAAACATTTTCCTTTTTAACCGACTTCAAAAAAGGAGGAGGTGTCTCAATTCGACCGTATACATTTTTATTTTTTTTTATGTGTGATCGTGGATAACTTCGTCGTTTATGAACCGATTTTGATGATTCTTTTTTTTTTCGAAAAGTAGATATCCCAAGGGTGATACCATGATAAGGAAGTCCGGATCTGGTGATGTCATCCACGAGAAATCGAGGGCCATCATTGAATGTTGTTTTTAATTTTCTGATTGAAGTCGGTTTTTTTGTTAAAAATTATACTTGTCATTTATGCAGTCAAAGACCCGACTGGCTTAATTAGCTCAATAATGACGGAAAAGCTTTTTATTCTATTATATATATACTATTTATTCTCATTATAAAAGCTATACCACATATCCTTTCTTTAGTTAAGTTAGTGACCAAATATATCGTACGATTTGATTACGTTTGTAACATAAATCAAAGCTTTAAGATGTTTAGTCTTAAACAGAATTAAAGCAGTAAAATATTAAACGCAGATATTTTTGGATATTATTTGGTTTTTATGTCGACCTACGTTGTCCTTTTTAAAGATCTTTAAATATAATAATGTTATACAAAACTATTTCAATATTTTTTGCTATGCTTTGATTATTGCTTACTTCACACAGATAATAATGTATAGAATGGATTCTTCATAGAGCTATTAAAATATGTTATTCTTAATTATAACCTTTTCATAGATTTTCCATCGTTCAGTTTAGTATATTTTTGTCAGCTTTCACGAATACGCTTAAGCGCGATCATCAATTAAAGGAAGCATAAGTCGTAATAATTTTAAAAGGGGTCAATAGGTAATGAGATTTGTTGCCTACTTACCGCTTTCGCTTAACGATAAATTGATCCAAACAACTTAAGTGGGATATTTTTATCAGCGACACTCTTTTCTTATCATGTCGTGCCATACAAGTATTGTGCTAAGACGTTTGTCAATTTCACTGGATATATTATGTATATACTTATATCCAATAGTTTTTATACAGAGCTGTGATAGCTCAGTGTCCGGGCGCTCACTTTAAATTCAATACACTCAAGCTGATTTCAAATTTCGGGTGAAAGCATCAACGAAATCGTCATTTTTATATTGATAATTCAGCAATTATCACGTGCTCCGCGGTGAAGAAAAACCTCACGAGGAAACCAGCATGTTTTGGAAATAATACAAAAAAAATATTTCGAATATAATTATGTGAAATCTGTCAATCCGCACAGCAGCCGTGTGGTGGACTATGCCTTGTACCCTTTGAATATAGGAGGTCTTTGCCCAGCAGTGGGATTTGTATACTGTTACTACTATTTATTATAATACTGACTTATTATATTTATTAATTCGAATTTATTATGAGAACATTGTAGCAACCTTATTTGGTCTTGACCAGAGGCAGGAAAAAAAAATATAATGTTTAGAATTTATTATCATTTATAGTTAGGATTATTCGAGCACATGGGCCCAGTGTCGCCACTTTTCTATATGATTCTGAAGCCTATCACCTGGGCTGCTGGTAGGCGACAATTGACGGTGACCAACCAAACGATAATCTTCAGTCAAGAAATTGTTTTTCACTCCACAATCCAGTAATTGCTGAGCTGCATACAAGGCTTCTGGTGAAGGTAGCAAATCTGTTTAACAACACAACACACTTAAACTATTTATTGCTCACTCTAAATTATCAGTGATAGTTATAAATTTTCAAGTTAATAGCAAAACATAATGGTTTAATCGAAAGAACTTAGATATTTTTTCGCATATCACATCCAATGCAAATGTATACGCATTCATACCCTTAAATTATATGTGTTAAACATCTCGTCAGATTGTTACATCTAAGCGTTAATTTCACTTAACATTAATTACACTTAAAATGTTTCTATAAGAAAATTAATAAAGTTTCAACACTTGTATAGATTATATTAAAACTTACAAGTGAAGTCGCCTATGAAAGAAATGGCAATAGCTTTGTCATTGAAACCTCGCGTGTGCGCCCCGACTCTGTTCCAACCTGCCCCCTCGTACACTTTTCCATGGCCACTGATCAGGAATCTACAGATTAAAAATGGGAATTAACGTTTTGTTGAACCCACCTAGTAGCGAAGTCACTAATATAGCACACTATATAATATAGCATACTATATAATATAGCATACCACTAATAGCAACTGCCGCACCAAGTCAATTCATTATTACTATTAAACCATTATAGACTCGAATGTATTGAGCTTCCTGCTATTTTTGTGAGAAAAAATTCCTCTAGACGATATAAATAAAATACTTACGAGGGGCCGATATCCGTAAAATGTAACTGCTTGATTTGGTAATCTCGAATGTTCTGGAGAATATCTTCGCAGAACTTGTCAGTGTGACACGGGGTAGACACCGTATGCTGTATGACAACAAGCTTCACTGGTGTGTCCAATTCTTCAGTTCTTCGACTCGTTTGGCCACTCCATGTTTTAATCGGAATAATGCCGCATTCATTAACTAAAAATATGTAATATTGCCTTTTATTATTAGAGAAAAGTTGAAATTTCCTTCGAAATAGTACGCGCATTCTACAAAGTGTAAAATTATCAGTTTAACGATTTTGTTTTATACGTCATTTACCATAATAAACCAACTATAGAAGGTATTACAATAATAAAATTAAATAATATTACATTATACTATATAAATTGTTAAAAAAACGTATTTATATAAAGTGCGTAGTACTGTATATAAGAACCCAAATGGTTAATTAAAAAAAATTATCACCAAAACATACATATTACATGCATATAACATATTACATCAGATGTTAAGTCTATTTGTTAAATAAATGAAACAATCTTACCGGCAATGGCGTTCGTTATAGACTGCAATGAAACAATCAGTATCACGATAAATTTATTCATTGTCACTGTGAAATTCAAATGACTTCCTAATAGCAGTAATGTTCGTATTGCTAATGAAATGGGAGCAAAGGCTTATTTATACACCCAATTGATATCGAAATAAATCTCCCGCCCCGTCATCCTAGAAAAGTCCCTCGCCCCTTATCAATATTGACGACAATAAAATGCCATTGTCGCTAGAAAATTTCATTGTACCATATCGATAGAAAAAATTAAATTTAGGTTTAAACAGATTTGTCTACAGATTTTTGTAAAACAGATTTGACTACTAAAAACTTATTAATTGAACATTAATTAGGGAAAATGCTGGGAGGATTAGGTAGTTAAATATTTTTTTATAAATCATTAGAAATTTAGTAAAGAATGTTTAATATAATTAACAAATAATTTAATTTTAAATTCAATTTTTAACGTGAATTTAAATTGTATATAGCAAATTTAAATGCTTGTGTATGATAGAAAGTTATCAGGAAATCTTAATAAGAAAATATTTCAAGTTGAAACGGTATTCCAGTGTTTTGTCATAATATTAATAGAATACTATTATTGCCTCTAGACACAGAATGTAACTGATGAATCAATATGAATATCTAAAAGGTTAAATGCACTTTCGGTAATTATATTGTGGAATACCTTGTGACAGAATGTGGTGACGTTATTTAGCTGGCAATTTGCCGATGGATTCAGGTGACTCAGGATCCTGTCTCGTGGCAGTCTGTGGCGGCTATATTCAGGAGTTGACTGTAACAGGCTGAAATGATGATGATGATGACAGTGAACAGATGCAGAAAGCTGTAAATGGGAGTAAACGTCGGGCTTCGGCAGGCATACTGCACACATACATATCATCTGTTAGACCTGGTTCCCGTCTTGTGGTGGCAAGGCGCTTAGTAGCCGCAGCTTGGTCACCTACGGTGAGGCCAAGGGTGACCAACACTGGGCCGGCCTGTGGTGCATAACCCGTCCTTGCCTCCACAATAAAACAAAAGAAGGGATAATGACTCAGGCAGATGTGGACCAAATATGACAATTTCAAGTAAGTATTTAACGCCCTATCTGTTGCTTGAAAAAGTGCGTATAATAGCGACAGTGGAATGCAAATTAATAAAATAATGCCCCGAGTCAAACATTACCTATATAACACTCGGCTCATTTTTTACAATACAATTATTTTCGTGAAACATACACATGTATAACTCCGCCAACTCGCAGTGGAGCCGCGTGGTGGACTATACCCTGATACTCTGTACAGAGTATGCCTTTACCCAGCAGTGGGACGTTTATAGGCTGTTACTTTACTTTTACACTCCAATTTCCAATTTTCTAAGTCAGAACATCACTAGTGATTTAGTGATTGTGACTAATAATAATTGACTATGAAATTGCGCTTCAGGGCTTAGTATTTCCCCGCGGTGTGACCTTTGACTGCCTTCTGTAAGGGACGCTCGTTGTTTTTCCTAAATACATGAAAACTATTTGTCGACATCCTGAGTCATAATATTAATATTAGATAAATACAAATTAAAGTACTAATTATACCTTTTGATATATTTCTGAAAAAATATTTTATTTTACGAATAAACATAGTAACACTCCTTATGCTATGTGTCCCACTGCTGAATATATAACGTTACACAGTCCGCCACCGACTCGATGCGGATGACAGATTCCACAATAATATTTGAAGGTTTCGCATTATTTTTAAAATGTATGTTTTTCTGCGTTTTTTTTTTCCTTCAGCTCTGGGCAAGTGACAATTCAACACCGAAAATTATAATTCACAATTTCATTGTTGCTTGCATAGGGTGTGTAATTCCGGTGGTAAAAACAAGCGAGCACGTGGACACTGATTTACCACGATTTGCAAAACGTGAAATACCAAAACTGTTAATAGAAGAACGAAACACGGAAGATGCTTAGTATGAGGTAAAACATTAAAAGCCAAGCCGCTGTTGTCAGCCGTACCAATGTCATGACCCTAAAAATATCTGCTTGTAAATCAAATTAAAAATACAACAGTAACTTTGGCTTAACATCATATATGAACATAAAAATCTTATTACAAATTCATCCCATATACATATTCATTTTGTAAAATCTTAAGATATTTTCCTCCATTATTCAGTAATTTTATCATTATTGCTATTATATTTGTTTTGTATGCACACTAGATTGGAGGCCAATTTTATTAAAAATAAGTTTGTGTGTTTCGCTTTCACGCCAAAAGTACTCAACCGAATATCATGAAACTTTGTACACATATTTGTTATAAGTATTAAAAAAATTAAAAAATATATTTATTAAGGGCTTCAACGCGAAAGGAGCTGTGGGTAAAAGCCAGTAGTTATATAAATAGTTGTATGTTCATTTACTAAATTATTTAAAAAGTTGTGTAAAACAATATAAGAAAAATGTGCCGTACATTATTTATAAAATAAAATCTCTTTTTAATGGGAGTTTGATAGCAAACGAGCTGGTAGTTCACCAGATGCTAAGTGAAAACCGCCGTCCATTAACGTTTGAAACACCCGTAGGGTTGTAGATAACAAAGTTGGCCCCGGCTACCTCTTTCACCAAATGAAACGCAGAAGTATAAGACTTCCATTTCACGCCAGTCTTCTGTAAGATCATGGAACCCGGATGGACCTGCCCAAACGTTCAACGGCGAAGATTGTTTCGTGGCCCTACCACAGCCAACAATCTCCAAAAGACTAAGTTGAATATGCATATAAAAGAATTTTAATTAAATACATTTAAGAACATGAAAACACTTTATAACAACAACATAGCTGTTTTCTTTTTAAATTTTAATGTTAACAATGAGTGGCCTTTGTACAGTAAAATAATTAAGTAGGTATAAGTCAAATAAATAATATAATAAATTTCGCGCTGTCATTTTAACAGGCTTTAACAACACAAAGGAGTGAAAATTAAAATCAGACACATAGAAAATTAAATATACATTATCCCCTTTGTTAAAGTATTATTTCATTGTGTAGTTTAGCGAAACAGAATTTGGCAAAAAAAAAACTCAAATATGTACAACACCTTATTTATATGAATGTTTATGTGTGAACCAATTTCATACTTTATGGCTATGTTAACAAAAATAATAATTTAAGAATTTTAATAAAATTTTCAAGGTGAAAAGTGTTAGAGAAAGGTGGAAAAAAATATATCGTAAAGTAGATTAAAAAGGTAGATTAAACGAGTAAATTTATCAAATATTTTATCCAGTTTCACGAATCAATTCTAATTCTACGCCGCGTTCCATTTCATATACTTCAGTTGCAGAAGAGGAACAGGTGTATTTTATTACTCTAGGAAATTTATTCGATATTAAAGTTAGCGTAAATTATATAAATATTTAATATTAAATGTATAAATATAATGATAGGTGTCCTTGTAACATATCTGTACGAATTTTAAAAATGTGATTGATTCTCCACAGCCGTGTATGCTTTTAAATACAATTGTCGCGTAGACCACTATTTTCATTTATTTGTATTTTGCATTATAATATAAATAAACTTCATCACCAAGGACACAGCTCAAATTAAAGTTCATTTTAATTTTAAATTTCGTCGCCAATGATGTGAATAGTGATCAGACAAGTAATTATAAAGACTAAAATTTGAAAATGGAACCCTTTCGCTGTTGAATGCAGTTTGTTTCATTAACCCCCAATTGTGGCGCCAATTTCAATCGACTACAAAAACGAAGGAGGTTATCAATTCGACTGTATTTTTTTATGTTTGTTACCTCAGAACTTTCGACTGAGTAAACCGATTTTGATTATTCTTTTTCATTTGAAAGCTGGTGCTTCTCATGTGCTCCCATATTAATTTCTTTGCTATTGGATCTTGGGCTCCGGAGATACGTAGGATACGTAAGATCCTGAAAATCAATACAGAGCGAGGTATTTGAAATCGGTTTTGGTGTTCGTTAATAAAAAAAAATTACTTATAAAAATTGCGTGTCTATTTTAATATGTATTTAACGCGGAAAAATTTTCGTAGTTTTAAAAAATTTCTACGATTTTAAGGGTTATTTGACAGTTCATCAGAGCCTCGCTCGGTTTCTATCTGCTTTTGGCGATGAAGCACCATGCGAGACTATATTAATAGCTCGTTTACGGAATTCAAGCGCGGTCATGGCAATCTCAGTAGTGGATCTCGCGATGGTCACTCGACTGATGCTGTGAAAAACAAAAACATGATGATGAGCGCCCTATGTTCGAATCAAACAAGTGTGTGACCCACCATGAGATTCAGGCATCCTATATATCCTATATATCCAGGCGTATACACCGCCCCATGAACGAGTTACTTACTTTATGGAGTCTAGTAACTGGCATCTTACACCGTAGAACTTATGAGCCATCCACCATACAGTCTCGACCTGGCCACCTTGTGGCTTTTTTCTATTCCCAAAAGTTAAGAACCAATTACGCGATCAACCAATTACGGCTGTCGAGGAGTATGAAAAACACATTTATAAGGTCTCCACGCAGGATTGGCACATGTTTTCAAAATTGGTTTAATTGTATGAAAAAGTGCATTTACGCAAAGGAAGAATACTTTGAGAAACAATAAATTCATTTTTAACCTTTAATAGTATTTTTTTCTTATTTTTTCCGGAAAATTTTAATGCGCCCCACGTATATAATAGTCAAAGAAAAAAAATATGAAAAAAACTTAAAACATTTTTCCATTTCTATAAATAGAACTGAATCTGAATAGCTGCATTCGATTCGTTTTCAATCTTCGGAAGTATGGCCATTTAGCCTCTTACCGTGATCAACTTCAGTGGCTACCTATACGTCAATAACTTTCTGTAAAAACACTGATTACCTACTCTTTATTCTTTCCTGAACTCGCCTTCTACTCCGACTTACTTATACCATCATTTTCACTATCTATGTGCAGACAGCAACAAAAATCTTCGCTCTTCGCATAATCATCTTCTTGATTGTCCTTCTCACCGTTCTGACTTCATGC